TGCTTGCTCGTATCATTCGAGACACGGTGGTTTGAGAAAATTCTAATTCCCTGCTCAGGTCTCAGGTGCTCACATGGGGATTTTCACAAAGGTGAAGAGCAATTTGAAATGTATTCTCTTCATTTCTCACAGGGCACAGGGCAGATACCATTTATTACGTCATGATTCTAATAATTAATATTTATATTCTAATTCACACTACGAATATTGAACAAATGGATCAAATATTCGTAGGGGAAAGTAGTTATTACAAATAGAATATACCTAGAGATACTTTCGTAGAGTTTTGTGAGATTTTATGAGCTGAAAAAGAAACCTTAACCACATGATCTGTCTTTCAAAATATCAAAAATTATTCATCTGCAAAATCCAATTATCTTTCTCAAGTACGGCTTTTTTCTGAATTCAAGATAATGGCGAGCAAAGGAGCTTTATACTTACCTGTATCTTTGAACATCTATTAACTTTTGTATTTACGTGTTATCGGAAGGTACAAAGTATCAACAATAGATACAATTCATACGCTCTGAAGAAAATTTGTCAGGATTATCCATCATAAACTTGTTCGGTTGCAATATGACTGTCAAAATATTTCACAAATTAGCCCTCCCTCTTTGAAGCTCAGCGGGGTACGGAAGGGTTGAGGGAATTCGTTTACATAAACGGCTTTTCAGATATTTACAATTTATTTCTGGAATATACACAAATAAATTTCTCTAGGCTATAGTAATAAATATATAAATAAATCTAGTGACTTTCCTTAATTAATTTCTTAATAACTAGGTCTCAGAGTCGTATCACTGACAACAAAAAAAAAATGTATATCGATTATTATGACTTCCGAGTTGATCTATTGTTTAATTTGAACAATGAGTTCAGTAAAATTATTACTGGAACTTGTTGTGCTAGATGAATTGTTTCTGTTATCGTCAAGTTAAAAATTTTTTAATCAAATTCTCAAATGAAAGAATCACTTTTGTGAAGTTTCGACGAAATATGATTATTGATTCCTATTTAATGATAATACAAATAGTAAGTTGTGAATTGGTTTGCTGAATTGTGAATTTTTGTGAATCAGCTGGAAACATCTTTCATCGTTAACCTATATTTTTGAAAAAATTCAGGATCCCGCACTATTTTATAACGATTTTTTCTGATTCATTTGTTCTTATCTTATAAATGGCAAGTGACGAGAAATACGTTAAAATGAGTTACCTGCCGAAAAAACATTATTGTTATTATAATTTTTATGAAAAAGTAGGATATGAGCACAAATATAGGAGTATTGAATCTTTTCTATTTTAATTATTTCGATATCGTTATGAGATTCATCGATTTCTTTCCACTAGTTTTAGTATAAGGGGTTTATAATGTAATCATACAAATTGGTTATATAAATTCAATAAATCTGACTGTTTCTTGGTGTTGAGTGTATTTATGGGTTTATCCGTGCTGGATAAAAAAAAAATTTCACATGCCTGATATTGAAAACATGATAATGGTTCACAATGAAGAAATGAAAATTGAAACTTTCTTTGTTTTTTACCACTTTTATATGTAACCAACGTTATTGCAGTTTCGTCCTATAAATACATTTTCAAACTTATACATCATGAAAATGGCATTATAAGACGAAATTGCAGTAATGTTAGTTACAAATAAAAGTGGTTGAAAACATATAAAGTTTCAATTCTCTTTTCTTCATTATGACTTTCTACGATGTAGAAACGGCTACATTCAACAATTTATAATGGTTCACCGTTGAACTTGTTTCAGACATTATGACAGATGACAGTTAACGTATAAAAATTTTTATTCTTCTTTCAATTTTTTAAAATAACGCGGTATTCACTAGTTTCAATGTTTTTACATCCATTTCTCCCAAAATTGATATTAACTCATTTAATATTACAGAATATCAATTTGACCACAATTTAGAACTACCTACTCATCAATTAAACTCTCCTATCTTCACAATTGAACTCAATCATTCTTCCAACAATAATTTTGGATAATGAACCAACCTTCATTCTCCAGAAAAAAATTCAATAGGTTAAGTGTCCAGATTACCATGTGCGAAATATCTTTGAGGTTGATGTAAAATCTGGATACTTAAGTATTCAAAAAACACATTTCATTATGAGATTTCCACTTGAAAGTTTACAAAACTGTGACACGTGTTGCAAACATAGTAATCTGGCGTCACAATAATGTACAGTGTTGTCGTGTAGCAAAACACGTGTCGTGGTTTTGTAATATTTCGGGTGAGAATCTCACATTGAAGTGTGTTTTTTGGAAACGTCAGTATCAGTATCTCACATTGTCCTCAAATATATTTTACATATTGTATTTTGTCGACACAATACTGTATCATATTGTGACGCCCGAATATGCTATAGTATCGTATAGCGAAACACGTGTCGTGGTTTTGTAAACTTCCAAGTGGAAATATCATATTAAAGTGTGTTTTTTGGATACGCTTGTATCAGGATTTTATATTGACCTCAAAAATATTTCACACATAGTAGTCTGGCGTCACAATACTGTTCTGTGACGCTCGAATATACTATCGTATAGAGAAACACGTGTCGTGGTTTTGTGAAATTTCAAGTGAAATCCTCACAATGAAGAGTGTTTGTTGGATACGTCAGTATCAGGATTTCACATTGACCTCAAAAATATTTTATACATGGTAATGTGGCGTCACAATACTGTACAGTATTGTGACGCCCGAATATGCTATCGTGTAGCGAAACACGTGTCGAGGTTTTGTGAACTTTCAAGCGGAAATATCACATCAAATTGTGTTTTTTGGATACGTTATTAACAGGATTTCACATTGACCTCAAAAATATTTCAAACATAGTAATCTGGCGTCACAATACTGTACGAATATGCTATCGTATATCGAAACACGTGTCGTGGTTTTCTAATGAAAATCTCATATTACAGTGTTCTTTGGATAAGTTATTATCAGGATTTCACATTGACCTCAAACATATTTTAAACTTGGTAATCTAGCGTCACAATATTGTACAGTATTATGACGCTCTAATATACTATCGTATAGCAAAGCACGTGTCGTGGTTTTGTAAACTTTCAAGTGGAAATCTCACGTTGAAGTGTGTTTTCTGAATACTTTGGTAACAGGATTCGACATTGACCTCAAAAATATTTCACAAATAGTAATCTGGTAACACAATACCATATAGTATTGTGACGCCCGAATATGTTATCTTATAATGAAAAACGTATCGTGGTTTTGTGAACTTTCAAGTGGAAATCTCACATTGAAGTGTGTTTTTTGGATTAGTTAGTATCAGGATTTCACATCGACCTCAAAAATATATTATACATAGTAATCTGTAAAACTGTACAGTATTGTGACGCCCGAATATGCTATCGTGTAGCGAAACAAGTGTCGTGGTTTTGTAAACTTTCAAGTGAAAACTTACATTTGAGTGTTTTTGGAATACGGTAGTATCAGTATTTGACCTTGACCTCAAAATTATTTTACACAAAATACTCACATTTGAATGTGTTTTTTGAATACGTTAGTAACAGGATTTCACATTGACCTCAAAAATATTTCAATCATAGTAATCTGGCGTCACAATGCTGTACAGTATTGTGACGCCCGAATATGCTATCGTATAGCAAAACACGTGTCGTGGAATTTTCAAGTGGAAATCTCATATTGTAATATGTTTTCTGGATACGATACTATCAGGATTTCACATTGACCTCAAAAATATTTCATACATAGTAATCTGGCATTACAATACTGTACAGTATTGTGACGCACGAATATTCTATCATATAGCGAAACACATGTAGTGTGGTTTTAGTAAACTTTTAAGTGGAAATCTCACCTTAAAGTGTGTTTTTTGGATACGTTAGTAAGAGGATTTGATATTGACCTCAAAAATGTTTTACACATAGTGATCTGGCGTCACAACACTGTAAAGTTCTGTGATGCTCGAATATATTAATATACATAAACACGTATCGCGGCTTTATAAACTTCCACATTAAAGTGTGTTTTTTGGATACGTTAGTTTCAGAATTTCACATTGACCTCAAAAATATTTCATTCATAGTAATTTGACGTCACAATCATGTACAATATGTGACGCCCGAATAAACTATCGTATAGCAAAACACGTGTCGTGGTGAAAATCTCACATTGAATAAGTTATGATGGATTTTCATATATCGGTCAGTTCTATCATATTTCTGATACTCATTATAAAAATAAAAATAGAGTTTACAAAAGAATTTTAGGTAACCCCATTCAGAACAATATTTTATCGTCTCGTTCAGTCTAACCATCTTCAAATCATCAACAGTGTTAATAGATTCAAATCGTTTTCCATGAAAATAGTGCGAAGTCCTGTTCAATTCCAGATTTTCTGCTTTCAAGCTTTTTTGGTAAGTCAACCAGCAAATTTGAGCAAAAATCACAACCGTAAACTAATCATGAAACGATTCTGTAAAATGTACCTATCACTTCACTGGCTCAACTACCAAAATAAATAATTTTAATATTTTTCTTTCGAATGGGACGAAAAACCATCATGAATTTTGTATTCAGAAATATGCTGATATGAATTAAGACTTCCACTGTATGAAAAATGTTAACAGACTTGAAATCTGAGGGAAAATACTAAGATGAAATATATGTTAAAAAGATATGATAGATGCATTCCCATTTTGAGTCCGAATAAATTGTTTTCTTTGCAAAGTGACGTTCTCATAATTTCACATTTCATATGTATGGTTCATTTCTATTAATTTTTCTCTCATATTACAAATCTGTTAACACTTTTTCATATAATGGAAGCCTGAAACTTCAATATTACCCAATAAACACGTTTAACCAAATTCAAACAAACATAGAACCATAATTTACACTTTTACCTCAGTCTTCTCTCCATACTTCTCAACTAAGGATTATTCACAATTTTGATATATGCTCTAGAAGACCAGAAACTCTCTTCTTACGGCGATAATGGAGGCCCTGGAAGATTTTTCAAGGCCGTCAAAGGCATGGCCAATTCGTTTTCATAACAGTTCCTGTCGTTATCCACTGTTGAAGTCTCCGGGCGTTTTTCCGCATTTCCCTGCCCTCCACTGGGATAGAAGGCTTTGGAAAAACTAGAAGACGCAGAGAACAAGTTCTGGTTCATGTTGATGTCCTCGATTGGTTGAAATTCCGTCGAGTGTAGACCGAATTTGCCGTCCTTTTTGGCTTTCATTCGGCGGTTCTGAAACCAAATCTTAATTTGCCGCTCTGACAAGCACAATGTATGAGCTATTTCTATTCTTCTCTTCCGTGTTAGGTATTTGTTGTAATGGAATTCCTTCTCCAGTTCTAAAGTTTGGAAACGGGTGTACGTTTGACGGGTGCGTTTGCTTCCTTTTGATCCAGATTCGGCTGAAAAAAAAACTGGGCGTTAGTTAACTGGAAATATAATGGACATCAGTAAAATAATATACTTTCACGGCAGGAGATCAAGTCAAATCGAATAAAATCCTTCGTTTTGACAATTTTATAAGTAACTAGTTGTCCGCGGCTTCGCCCGCGTAGAATTTGGTTTGTCCCATTAGGTTTAGTGACAGACCATTTTGAACAAATAGTTACAATTTTTTTTCAATAACTTCAGGTTTCCAACTTCACGCTCGAAATTCAATACAATGTTTGAACTCTTACTGTTCCCCCTTTGGGATGTGAATCCCAGATTTCTTTTCTGGATACGTATTTACGCCATACAAAGAACCTACCTGCATATTTCAAGATTCTAGGTTTAGTAGCTTCGGCTGTACGTTAATATAAGAGCGGGCAACACCTAGTCATTTATATTTCCACTTTGAAAATACCGTAAATAGAGAAATATGCTAACTGCACTATGTACTGAATAACTTTGGGAATCGAATTATGCTACCTATAAAGAAATTCGCAAAACTAAAACAACCGTCAACGACATCTGCCATTACGTGTCTGCCCGCGTTTGGATCGCGTTTTCGGCGATGACGCTTCATTGCTTACAGCGCACCTCTACCCCCGCGCATCGACTACCGTCGTCTTACAGTAGACACGATACGTAATGGCTAATTGCGTTGCGTCAAGTCAATCTAATCGTGATAACTTTCAAATGATTCGTACGAATTAACTAGTGAAAAAGGCCAAATTTATCTATACCAAATAGTTGAAACGATAATAGTATCAATTTTATAAGAATTCGACAAATATTCTGAAATGTGAATTGTGAAAAAAGTATGCAATTCAATTGTATTTATGACTGTCAGGCATAAAAACCTGCAGACCACGGTCAAAAATTCCTGAAAACTGTTTTGACATAAAAACTCGATCTCGAAAATATGATGACCGTTTGGTTTGCTATAAACGAAATTGGTTTCATTCAAAACACAACCAGAATTTCAATTTCGTCACATAAGTTGTAAATTCAGTTGCTTCAAATCAAACTGTACAGAGCAAGTCTAAAACACATTAATTTGATTCAATTTTAAAATTACTTCACTTCGAAAAATACAAACAAAGTGTTAGGTCAGGTTAGGCCCAAAGCGAGTGGGTATATTCGGCACTCCACCGCAACCCGCAGGGGTTTATTGTGGATCACACTTATTCACATTCGAAGAAATAAACATAGCGTTTTAACGAAGTCGATTATTTTGTATGGTGAGTGGTGAGAGTACGGCTCTGCAGAATTCTAAAAACCTGATTCGGACCGCAGCGAGGCAGGCAAAAAGTATGTGCTCTGCAGTTCCATCATTTCCCAAATAGAGGCGACAAACACTGTCTTTCGACAGTACGAGTCTACATATGATGATTCAAATGACAGTGATCTGTAAGAAGGCCTGTTAGACATCGTAGTTCATCTCTACTGTACTCCATCAACTGTTTGGTATCGAGTTTCGAAGGGTGAATAAACACCTTGGAGTGAGCCAATCCTGGAAGATTTTGCCAAAAGTTCATACATCTTCTTGCCATCCAGATATTCAATTTTTGGCAAAGATTAAAGCGATGCCAATCACAGGTTCTGGTCTGATGAAGCTGCTTGCTGATTCAAGGAAGACAGCAGTCTCACTGTCTTCCAGGTCAGTATGGCCAGGATGCCAGACCGGAAACAATCTGTGAAGTCTTCCTATCGAGGAGAGTCGTTTTTGTCAATTTACTACCAATTTAGACGTTGCTTGGTAGGAGCCAAGAGCTTCCAATGTCGCTTGATTGTCCGAGAATATTTTTATTGAATTGTGTATTAGGTTGGATTCTTCCAATCCCTCCGCGCATAATCCAATAGCTTTAAATACAGTCGCATAGGTTCCTTGGCAAGTTGATAGCTATGTTCTGGGTCTGCGACTAAAAACACCTGCACCAGAACCGGAAGGTGTTTTTGATCCATCTGTGAACCAAAAACTATCTGCTTCTAATATTTCCTTTTCCTGGAGGATCCAGTCTTCTCTACTCGGGTACCGTACTTCATAAGACAGTTCGTATTTGACAGTTGGAGGCATAAAGTCAGAAGCCATTTCCAGAATGCTGTGACTCTGTATTTAATTGATTTGTGTAATTGGCAATGTGCACAAGTATATATGCAGTCCATCTAGCCTCTCTTTCCAGAAAAATGTGGAGAGGAGGTAGGTCTAGAAGGAAACAAAGTGTTCTGCAAATTTCAAATTTGCATAACACTTTGTTTCCAACAAGTTATATATTTTAGTGGGTTTTGAAATAAAACTGTTTGTTGGTACACTCAAAGTTCTGAGTGTTATTCAAAAAATACTTTATTGTGAGATTTTCTCTAAACAGTTTTACAAAAATGCCACACGTGTTTCGCCATACAATGGCTTCCTCAAGAGTATCTTAAAAATTTTTGAGCATTTTTCACTTCACTGAGTTGAGTTCAAATTTTACTTATGATTGTATTCGGTAACAGCACTATTGCCTCAATATAACATCTGGAGGTATGAACAAATGTCGTTGAAGGTCAACTGTGATTATTTCTACTTTAATTAGTTCACTTTATGAATTACCTTCATGAATATCTTGAGTTTGTTTTCAAAAAAATGTATCACTAGTCTACTTACCAATTATTATTTCACTAATAATCAATAACAGAACTCTATTCTTTCAGAATTTACATGATTTGGATTCATCAACCCATGATAGAGGCTTTTCGAATTTGAAGCAAATGATAAATTTTCTACAAATCAATTGTTTAATTGAAGTTTAGTTCTACATATTTATTATTTTCTACCGTTTGCGATGATAGAATATTTGTTTTAGTTGAGAAATATTTGATCATTTGACATGTTTCGAGCACTTCTAATTCAGTTAATTCAAATCACCGAGGTCTATTCAAAAAATTAGGTGAATGTTCATTGTTCGCGTGCTACGTACATTCGATTGCCGTCTTTTATTTTTTTACGTTGGTACCATCGTATCGAATATATGTCACAGTTTCAGTTGATGTTTAGGTTGTTGGTGAGAGGCAATTTTCTGCTATAGAAAAAAATGGATCAAAGAATTTGCCTTAAATTTCATGTGGAAAATTCAAATAGAAGTCTTAAGAAATGTCGACAGTGGCAAGGAGACTGTACTCTGAGTCAGAATTTTTTTACAAGTGTTACAAGCATATTAACAACCGATAAAAATGTCGGCATATGAGTTGGCTCATGCCATTCAAATTTTTCGCCAATTATGGGCTTGAAACGTTCAGCAGCAAAGTTGGTTCCGAAATTGCTGAATTTTGACCAAGAAACCTTCGCATGAGCATCGCTCATGACGTTAACAGCGATTCAGCGATCTGCCGAGAACAACACTGTAATAATATATCAGCCACCGTATTCACCGGATTTGGTTATCTGTAACTTTTTCCTGTTTCCAAGATTGAAGAGGCCCATAAAAAGACGGCGTTTTGCGACGATTATGAAGAAAAAAACGTATCGCTGATAAAGTTCAAGGACATACCAAAAACTTCATATTAGAACTGCTTCGAGGATTGGAAGAAACGCTGGCACGAAGTAGGAGGACTACTTCGAAGAGGACAAAGAAATCGATGAATAGATGATAAATATTTTTTGAATGAAAAAAAATTCACTTTTGAAGATACCTTGTATAGTGTGGAATGTAATAAGTGCATTGCAACATCTAAATTTGAATGACGTCAAAAGTTAGTGCATATTCAATAACCTTATTGAAGGTGCTCAGGTTAAGAATAAATAATAAAGTACCTAGTTTTGGTAGATATAATAATACACCATTACGCAAAGGTGCTAAGTAATATTTTTTTTAAATAATTTATGGCTCTCCTATGCCTTCGTAGACTGTAAGTCCGTAAAACTCGAATCAGGCAATCTTGCAGGCCACTTGTGAAACACACTCCTACCTAAGTTTCGATTTTTTGGTTAAAATATATTTCAATGCTAGCCTATTATGAGTTGATGAGTCCCGATCATGTAGGAAATACTTTCTTTCAATCAACCTTTATCAATTATCAAACAGGAGGAATACTTCACCAGTTTATATTGCAAAATATTTTACATATTTTGTTCAATGAAGCGGGTTATAGGGGAGATCCGCCATGAAACGGACGTTTAACTTTGCAGTATTATTACATACTCTAGTTACAAACTCATAAACTCGTTACCTGGTCTTGAAGAATTCATAGATTATATACAATTAACAACCATATTTTAAGTGAAATATTTTTATTTTACGAAGTATTACAATAGTTTTTTAAATTATTGTTTGTCCGTTTCATGACTCAGGTAGCATTGAATAGGACAGTGGTTGTCTTGAACTGGACTAGGATCCAATGTGACGCTTTCTGCCTCATGAATACCTAACGTTTCACTATTATATATTAAATCTTATTAAAACTAGACAAACACTTTCAAAACAAACGGAGATCTAAAAATTATGCAAATATAAGAAAATACAACAATAAATAATCAGACACTTCTTATATACCTAATGTTGGAAGAATATATTTCCTGCATTATAGGGCTCACCTCATAGCATAGTGAAAGAATAATATTTTCAAATCATAACTTATCGAATCATTGGAAAGGCAGCCTTACATCTGGCCTACGAGATCGCCTGACTTCAATACGGTTGACTATCATATTTGGGGATATTTATAAACCATATTCTATCATAACTTCGTCACACAAACATGGTGTTAATGTGTTGATATTAATTAGCATATTTTCGTTAAAATATATTTCACTTCATGATTATTACTCACAAATAGAAAGGCTAATATAAAATAAATTATCGGTTTCAACTAGAAAATTCATCAATCAAGATAAAAACACTTTTTTAGGTATTGTACCCACATTAACTGAGTCACTTGAAACAGCTCAATTTTTCCTGCTCTTATAGAAAAATCACACAACGTTAAAACATTCTGATTCACAGGGAGTTGTTTGGAATTGAATCATATTTGTTAATAATTCCAAGTCCGGTCCTGGATTTCAGTTTTTACCTATTATTCGGCACTAAATCGAATGAAGAAAATATGTGGTGGATATGACAAAATTATACTGTGGCTCATGAGATGGAGATAAATATGAAAATTGAGCAAAAAATAATGAATCACCCTGTTTCAAAAATTCTGAAACCCATCACAGAATATTGTGGCTGACGCTCAACTACCTGTAATGCATGAGCATTTCCCAAGGAAACACTGTATAAAAATGTATTTTCTGTTAGTTGAAAAACATAAAATAACTTACAATTTCCATGGGTACTTTTCATCCAAGGATAAAAATTCCCTTGAACCGCAGCCAAATTATCATCAACAGTCTTCTCTTCTAAACTGTCGTCTTTACCGAAACCAGCCAACTCCTTTTCTTCACCATCAAATTCGCTGCTGTCTCTAGACCCTCTGAAGTCTCTCACGTAATTAGCTCCCTTTCGCAATTCTGTATATTCGTATGTGATTTTCTGGTCAACGGGCCTGCTCAGAAGGGCCCTCAGAGCCGGAGAATCATCTTTGACACTGCTGGGAGAATCGTTCAACGTTGAATTCGTGTCATTAGTGGATGATGTAGTTGCTAATGAGTCGGACTGTCTACAGCTGTCGTATTGGTTGAAAGAATTGTAGTTGTGGTTGGCAGGAGGTGGACTTAGACTGGAATAGTCTGGATTTGGGTTGAATCTGCAGTTGCTGTACACAGGCTCTTGTTTTAGTTGATGATGCGAGCCCATGTAGGGATAATTAAACAGTCCTTGATTGGGTTGTGTTTGGGCCGCAGCAGCATATCCCGAAACCCTTTGGTTTTCGTATGAAAATCCCCCGGTTCTGTAACCATATTGATTCCAGTAATCACAAGAAAAGTCTGTGGACGCACTCATTTCACTGTACTCACTCAATACCGCGTGCAATTGAAACTAAATCTGGCCTTCGGTCCAGAATGGATGTTAGACATTGTCAACTATGCCCTGGGAGGGGTGTCGACCCCCTGACGTTCGTCGCCTGCTCTTTTATTTCGCCAGCTGCCCTGTGAAATTCACCCACCCCCGACCATTCATGTCTTTTTCATATTTATTGGGGTATCGGTCGTATATTGCAGAATGTGAAAGTTTGGAATTTCGTTCGGCGATTGGTTTAGTGATTTTACCTTATGTCTCTATTTGCAGATTAATAAAAATAACTCTGTTTTTGGCTGGGGTGTTGTTATTACTTAAGATTAGTCGGATTTGGGTAATTGACTTTGGTATTGTATGAGTTTTTTTGTAGATTTGACACGAGGCACGCTTTCTATTCAATAATGTGAATGAGAGACTAATCAACTGTAATAAAGTTGAGATTGGTTCCTTCCATTAATAAATATTAATCAATACGATTATATCAAACATGCAATTATGAAAATTAAATTAGCGGCCTCTCTTCGCATGACTCAGTGTTCAGTATGCGGCTGACATATACTGTATATAAAGACAATAATAACAGCATATAAAAAAATATCACCGCTTTTTAAAGTTATGAAAGCAGAAGATGATCTTCGAAACATTACATATGTACATACCCAAAATATTATGATATTATTATACATACAAGTAATAATCAAAGCTTCTCTCAAACTCAATATTGAATAGTTCAACTCAGATTAATGTCACAAAATTATACTTAAAGTATAATAGTGAAATGTATAATTGTAATTTGATTCAAAGAAAAAATCCATAACTCAATAAAATAACACAATAAGAAGCGAAAGATTGGCAAAAAAACAGTTTTAATTTTTGACTGAGAGACCCTGTTAATCCATTTTCTTATTTATATATAGAAATTTGATACTGGTAATAAATGTAGATTTCAAATAAATTACAACTATACTAACATTATGTGTACATATGATAAAAATCAGCAATCAAAAAACTTCACAAATGTTGTGTATAAACAATTCAAATAGTTTGAACAAACGTAAAGGAGTTCGAAAACAGAATTTTAATCATTGTATGAATAGTTCAAATGCAAAAAACAACAAAAATTTTTTTTGGTTACTGTTACAATACAGGGTGTTTAATTGAGGCGAAGTTGCGCATCTACCTGACTAACAAAGTTCTGAAATTCCGAGTATATCCGGAGATATCCAGAAAAAAACAGAAATTTCAGAAAATGGTTATATTTTTCTGGCTTCATTTTTCGAAGGATTCGAAAATAAATTGCACTTCCACATTTTTCACTTTTCCCCTGCTACATAGGGGTGTTGTCAGATTTGCTATCCGACGTTTCGTTTTCCAGCCATCATCATCAACTTTATTATTTTTTATGGACGCTACATTGGATTCTTTCTGTTTTGAATACAACCAGATTTTACCTTTTTCAAAAAATAATAATTCTTAACATATTCTTGCAAATGTGGAATTTGTCTTCAAATTAAAGAAACTACTTCTATGATCTTTCATTCTCTGGGTAAAGGTTCACCTCGTTTATCCAATATCGAGTTTTGGGTAAGAACCACACGTCAACTTATATTCTCATGATCTATCTCACACTCAAGTTTTGTCTTCATTGTTTTTAACAAATTTGCTTAAATCATTATCTGTCTGGTAAGCTAAGTCCAAGTTTTTCGTTTTCAAAAATCGAGCGGTTTCATTGGCGAGTTCATCAAAGTTTGTCAATGTACTATAACGCACATTATTGTTTGTTGAAGTAATATAGACCTGGATAATGATTTGTTCTAGCAGTTTTTTTAAAAGAATGGAGTTGTCAGTATTTACTTTGTAACCATTGTTGACCAATGATATTACCTGCATATAACAGAGCATTTTTGGGAAATTTCGTTTTGGTGTTCAAAAAATGAATTTTAATTGTTTTCCGTTAACATTTATTATCAACACTCATACGATAATTCTCAAAATTTGAAACTTGATCGAGCTGAGAATTAACGGGGTATTATCTGTCAACGTGCGATTCCTCATTACGTGCGAACAATATAGTAATTTATTATCATACCATTCAATATACACTTATGGTAATGAAGTTGTGATATGTGGTTCAAAGATATATGGTTATACAGACAGTCTAGAATGCCTGAAATGATAAATACTATCTTTAGTGGAAAATCATTAGGTTTCAATAAATGAGCTTTGCTTTACTTCGGCTAGCTCTTCCATGAGAGCTTGAAACAAAAATTATTTTTAGGTAAACAGACGTTTTGAATAGTGACAATGAGATTTTTTTGCAATATTTTCATTCCATCGTAAGGACTATTATACTTAACTTCCAAAACATTTTATTACTTCTTCGTCGAGTACTACTTTAGGCATATGTATCGTGCACTTTGAGAAGATAGCTTGCATATGTGCAAATGCGTGTCATATAAATGGTAAAGATAAGAGGGCCTAACATGGATCTTTGGGGAACTACCCAAAATACAACAATTAAAGGTTTATCTCTCCCTTATTTCCAATCTATGTACATTTCATAGAAGGTTCTACAGTGAATTAGCGAAAATTCCCACCCTCTCTTCAAAATATGCATGTCGTTCGTATCATTATCAATTTCGTGTAATACCTGCTCTGGTGAAACTAATGTAGCGTGAACGTGCTTCCAGTTACGATCGACCTGACCTGACTTTATTGGTAAGGACTTAGTTCGACACGACTCCATCAATAAGTTTTTTCTGCATCATCTGTTACGCTTTTCTGTTCTATTACGGTTACGCAGGTAACAGTGGTACCTTAAAAAATATAGGCCAAATGAAACCTTCCGAGAATGTCAGACAATTCATTATGGACCGACTTGCAGTCTGTAGCTCAGAAAATGAGATCACACTGTAAAGTTCATTGTAGAAGGTCGTGTCGATTTATTGTGTTTGGCAGTTTTACAAGTCGACTTGTGTTGTTGAAAAAGAGCCAATAATTCCAAATCATGCATTTTATAAACATCGAACGTTACAGTTATGAGGCAGGTTCCTCTAAGAAGTTGTAAAACTTTTATATTCGTTCAATATTTCTAAAAATTATGAGCTTTTTGAAAAAGAAGTGTTTGAACTTCATTATTTAGTCTGCTTAGAAACAAATGAAAAACACATGTTGGAATAGGTCCATAATTGAAAATTCACTATAAAATCTATTTGATGAATCTATATCAAAAGTTACTTGAGTTATATAGACAACTAGGTTCATAGCAAAGCTATTTTCGAATTACATTCAACATATCCTCAGGGCTTGAAAGTAGGTTTTTCTGTGATCCATAATTTGAAATTTCCATAGAATTGTGAAAGAATGACAGGTGTACCAATTATATTGTTATACTGAGTAGATTCATTTCAATAAAGAGGATGAAAATAGTTTCATTCAAACACTTTGCCTATGAACACAAACAAATTCACTCAAATACATAGAATTGTTGTAATCTGAAGTAATTTCTAATAGGCATTTCTTCATAAATATTCCACATTCAATATTATGTTAAAATAATATTTTCATACCAACCAAAATAGACTTTGAATTTTTCGAATTTCTGTGATAAGTCACCCCAATGGTATACAAATATCGACTAAGAAATTATTCATCCCTGAAATAACATAGGAAGAAAAAATACTTCAAAGCCAAAATGCCTTTCCTCAGCTTTATCTTCATGTATAAAGCAATTCTACACGTTGAGATAATCTTACTTACTGCCTTTCAAAGATTCAATAATCCACCAAGTTTACATAACAAATCCAGATAATACTGTTTTTTGGACGAGTAGACACATTTCTTCATTATATTACTATGTAGAACAAAATTTTGAACATTTCAATTCATATTTGTAATGAATATTGAAATTCGAAAGGAAGGAAGGTAATGACAGAAACATTTCAAGTCCTATTTATATTATAACAACACTGAGGTATATTTTGTACATTCAAGTTCAAGGCAGAACAAGAAGATTGCGTTTCCGTTTCACATTCATTGTTTTCATGTGATAATTTTTGAATCGTCTCGGTTATTTTGATTTTTTTGTAAGTGAATTGTCTATATATCCTTAAGCGACATTAGTAGACTTCCAGCCACCGTGTCTATTTCACCATTATCATCAAATTACGTCGCCTAAGTTCGACGAATGCTATGACATGTGTAACGTTCGTGGTTAGATGAATTCAAAAATTCAGCAATTATTTATTCGAAATTTCCAACAGGCTGAATAAATATTTTCCTTTTCTGTAATTCTGTAATTTTACAATTACAAGCAACAGGTCTTCCATGTCATTCATTAGATCGATTGACATTTTTGTTATTCCTTCCCTTCTACACGTACATGCTAACCCCATGCCCCCTCCCGGGTTAAGTGCCTTGAGTTGAAATCTTCCCCACAAGGTCAATGTGTGCAGAACTTCCCATCTTGTCCATCCACCCCCGATCCTCCGGAGCGGTCCTCAACTTACTGATGGGCACTTCAGCAAGATTGACATTTGACCTCTAGGTGCTTTTACTTCCTGATCTGTTGAATTGTTTTATCATGACTTTCCTAACTGAATTATTGCATGGTGTCCCCAAAAACTAACCGGAGACGAGTATCTTTAATCGCGAACAAGTGTTGGTTCTCCAGTGAATCTGAAAATGAGATCACTTCGAAGTCTGGTTAAAAAGTTTTTATACTTACCGGAGACGCCTGGAGACTTTTGGAGATGGTCTTTGGTTCTGATGCGTTGACCATCTGTGTTTCGCACTCTCTCGGAATCTGGGGTCATCTCTATTCAGTGCGTTATGTAGATCGCTTCGCGCTGGATTGTCGTGCGCTCGAATTCTGTCAAACGTGTCCTCTGCGTGTTTCCTCATGTATGCGTCTACGCAGTGTATGTTCAGGTCTAGATCCCGGAATATGTATCGTGTTAGGAATCACACGTTAAAAGGTAAGACCT